CTGGACCGTACTATTTTCATTGCTTCTCGCTCCTCTGAACACTTCAGGAGTCCCAGGCTGCAAGCGTGACACAGGCATGTGGCGCGAGCGATTGCGGAAGTCTGTCTGGCCACCAGCTCATTCAGGCCATACGGATAGCTTCCACGCCCGAAGCGGCTGCAATTTGGCTCAGGCTGCCGACGTGAGAGCTGCATCCACGGGGACGTCCGGAAGCCCGTCGAGGCCCATGCAGCCTGGCAGCACGTCGAGCGAACCATTCTGCCGGGTGGGCCGATACCCCTCTAGGAGCTTGTGAGGGCCACTGGGTTGCGCGGCGAAGGTTTCTTGGGAGCTTAGCAATCAACATCTCAGCAACTTGGCAACTTGGCGGCTTGTCTGGCACTTCGAAAACGTGGCCTCCGTTCGAACATTACGCAGTGTTTCGGGAAACGGGCCGCGCCCCCTGCGCCCCCCACATTTTCAATTTTTCGCCAGCCGCCGATCGCGTGATCAATGTTGAAATCTTTGGGCGCAAAGGGCGCGGCGCTTACCAAGAAACGCACACATCAGTTTTCGCAGGGGGGTATTAAGGAGGATGTATCGATTACCTCAGGCCTTCAGAATCAGTTCTTCCGATTGTCAAGAACACGCGTGACCACCCCAGGGCCCAACTAGATCCAACGCTCTGGGGAGGGAGACAGGATATGTATACATGTATGTATACATACATAGATATAGAGAGAGGAAGGGAGATTAAAATAAACACATGAGACAACACATACAAGGAGAAAGAGAGAGGGAGAAAGACAGTGAGAGAGAGAGAGAGAGAGAGAACGGGACAAGGACACCAATACATACTTAGATGTAGACGCGTATACATGATAATACGTACGTGTATATGCATGTGTATATGTATTTGAATATGCGTGTGTAGACAGATATGCACATGAATACGTAAAACCACCGACCCTGTTGGCGTGTGGAAGAGGCTGCTACGTTTAACTCGTCATCGTCGTGGTCGGTCGTGCTCGTCGTCGTCGCCTTCGCCGCTCCCCTCTCCTTTCCCTGGGCCCGTTGTAGTTGAGTCGAAAGGAATCCCCTTCCCTTTGATCCCTTCCCCGCCGGGCGGGGGGTCCGTCCGACTGGGGGGGGGTCCCGGGGAGGGGGGGTCGCCACCCAAATACGACTCCCCAACAGGGGGTGGTCGTCACCCAGATACGACTCCCCCTGAGCGGTTTGGGGGCCCAGAAAAAACCCAAGAGCGCAAAAGTGTACCAATATGCCCCCAAGACGGTGCTCGAGGGCCCCGAATCGCCGAAGCATCGGTCCAAGTCGCCAAAGTAGCCTCCAGACGGCTCAAAAAGTTTCCAAAACGCCCCAAGAGGCCTCCAAGAGGACTTCCAAGACCTACGACTCACGGTTTTTAGTGGCGCCGATCTCCCCACAATTGAAACCTGTTTGGAAGGTGTCACACAAGAAATCCCTTTGCACAGGCTGCTACTCAAGGATTCTACTTGCGGAGGCCATTGAAGACCCTCCACAATTCAAATATGTTTGTTTTGTAAGGCCACCTTGTTCTTGTTCTTGTGTTCCTAGCTTGTTCTTGTCTTTTCTTCCCGGGTGGAAGCCGATATTTTGTTCATCTGCTTTCTGTTTGTCATGTTTTCCTCTCTAGCTCTCCTGGGCTCAAGGTGCCGCCACTGCATAATCCCCAAGATTGAAACGATTTTGCAAGACCACCACAACAAGAATCCTCTTGTACAGGCTGCTGCACGAAGGATTCTACTTGCGGAAACCATTGCCGATTCTCCACACCTAAAATCCTTGTGTAAGGTCGCCACAAAAAGAATCCTTGTGCAAAAACCGCTACAAAAGGATTTGACTTGTAGATCATCTGCACCGCGAAAATAGCGACAGTCACAGGTTGTCCTGTGTTTTCCCATTCTGCCATGTGACAACACAGGCCGTTTCCTGTTTTTCATGTTTTCCTGTGCTCCTGATAAGCATTCGCGGCCCGACGGCGCCGCCTCTGGAAATTCACTACAATCAAAGTAAATGTGCAGATGGATCACACATTGATTTCATGTGTGGGGGTGTACAGATTGAACTTGACGATTTTCAAATTGATTTTGGTTTAACGATCTTAAACTAACTATGATTGTGCGGCTTTCCAAATGGGTTTTAATTGTATGTAATCCTAATGGCGGCGCCGTGGGGCCGCGGAAGTTTAACAGGACAACAAAAAACATGACCAACAGAAACCAGCCTGTGTTTTCACATGGGAAACATGAAAACTGAAACACAAATAAGGAACACCAATGGCTTGTAGTGTGTTTATGTGTTGCACCAATAAACACGCAGACAATAAATGGCTCCTCAGTTGTTCCTGCTTTTCCATGTGAGAACAAAAGCGTTTGCATGTGACTGTCAGCGTTTTTTATTGGCGCAACAAATAAAAGCCCTAACGATCATAGTTGTTCCTCCGCGTTTTCTCAGATTCTCCTGTTCTTCCTATGAAATCACAAGCTGTTCCATGTGTTTCCTGGTTTGCGGCCCCACGGGGCTGCCTCTGAAAATCCATCACAACCAAAATCAATGTGTCAATGTATTACAAGCTGATTTCATATATGGGGATTTACCACTTGAATCAAACATACTTGGGTTGTACGGTTGTTTAATTGGATGTGGGTGTGTTGCGTTTCAGATTATCTTTAATTGTAGGGAGTCCTAGTGGCGGCGCCGCTGGGCAGCGGAAGCTTACCAGGAAAGCAAGAAACACATGAAACACATGAAACAACATGTGTTTCCACATGGAAAAGCAAGAAGAACTGATATAACAATCAAAGGGGAATGTGTGACTGTTAGCGCGTTATCCAAGTAGGCTTGCCCTATAGGAGTCCTAGCTCATCATAAATAATTGGTCTTTAACCCCCCTCCTTTTTTCCAATGGGGCCCCCCATTATTTCCAATGCCCCCCCTCCCCTCCCTTCCCCCCCGTTTTCCAATGCCCCCCCCCCCCCTATTTCCAATGGCACGCCCCCCCCCCGCTGTTTCCAATGGCGGGTCCTATGGATTCCTATGCGTTCCTATGAGTCGTATGGATTTCTATGCTTGCTTGCTCTTGCCTGCTTGCTTGATTGCACTTGCTTGCTTGCTTGCCTGCTCTTGCGTGCTTGCTCTTGCACACACACTGGCACTTGCTTGATTGCTATTGCATGCTTGCTCTCGCTTGCTTGTTTGCACTTGCTGGCTTGCTTGCTTGCTCTTGCGTGCTTGCTTTTGCACGCCCACTTGCCCTTGTTTGATTGCTCTTGCGTGCTTGCTCTCGCTTGCTTGATATTGCTTGCCCGTGCTTGCTTGCACTTGATCGCTGGCTCTTGTTTGCTTGTTGTTGCTCGCTTGCGCTTGCTTGCTTCCGCTTGCTTGTTTGCGCTTGCTTGATTTTGCTTCTCCCGTCCTCCTCCCGTCTTGCTCCCGTCCTCCTTTCGTCCTCCTCCCATCCTCCTCTCGTCCTCCTCCTGTCCTCCTATCTATTTGGAGTCAACGCTGGCTGATATTTATTTGTTGCACCAATCGAAACGCTGATGGTCACAGTGTTTCCTCAGCTTTTCCTGTCTTTCCATGTGAAAACTCAAGCTTTTGCCTGTGACTGTCAGCGTTGTTTTATTGGTGCAACAAATAAGAGCACTAATGGTCATAGGCTTTTCTCCGTTGTTTTTCTAATTTGCTCTTGCTTTTCCATTTGCAAGCACAATTGTTTCTTGTTGTTCCTGTTTTCCTTGTTTTCCTGGTGAGCTTTCGCGGCCCCACGGGGCTGCCTCTGGAAACTCATTACAATCAAAACCAATGTGCAATTTTATGACACATGAATTTCATTCGTGGGGATTCACACATTTAATTTGATTGTGTGGATTTTCAAAGTGATATTGGTTGCACTGTTTTTGGAAACAAATTTGACTGTGTGGATTTTCAACTGCTCTTTTATTGTAGGAAATCCCAATGGCGGCGCCGTGGGACCGCGGAAGCTGACCAGGAAAACAAGAAAAACAGGACACACATGAAACATGTTGTTACACGTTTATTACTATTATTAACTTTCAAAATAAACTAAGCAATATGTAGAAGCACTGTGACGTCAGCGCGATCATTGGTGCAACAAATAAAAACAGTAACGGTCACAGGTTTTCCTGAGTTGATTCTCAATTTCTCCTGTTTTCCATGTGGAAGTAAAAACGTTTCCATGTTTAGTGCCCGGTTTTCCTGGTACGCTTCCGCGGCCCACGACGGTTTCTCTGGGAGATGATTATACTGAAAAACAAAGTGTAAATTGAACACAATTTGATTTTAATGTGTGGTGATTTACACATTGAATTTGATTGTGGAAATTTCCAGCTTGATTTTTCTGATGGAGATTTCAGTGACAACGTTGTGGCAATCTACACTTGCAAGTTGTGCGCATGTACAACAAACTGCACATGTTGGTAAAAAACGACAACAACAACAACAACAATCATTTAAGACTGGGGACACTCCGTTCTCACCAGTGCCAGGGTTTTCATAGGAGGCGGGCAATACCCCCACTTTGTGGGGGGGCCGGTTCAAGCTCTACCAAGTTTCCAAACGACTCTTCGCCACCACCCACACCCAGCTTCCCGCCCTATGACGTTCGGACACTTCACTTCGTGGCCTGCGGACGACCTTGGCTACTACACTGGCGCATGGGTACAATGACTTGTTGTGGTAACATTTTGTGGAAGCTAGCTTAGTATACGACTTTTCCCCCTGCAATTGAAGATTTCGGCGTGCGCGCGCGAAGAAAAAACGAATGTGTCCCATATGGTATTATTTGACAGGGATGA